TTTCTGCATAGAATGATGAGAGGAGGAGACCAAGTAGTGAGTATAAAACTTCTAGCATACTCTCCGCATTTGAATTTTTTTTTTCTCTTCACGCTCCAGTGTTGGCGAGGATAAATCCCACATTCAGATGTTTTTATTCTTGAGAGAGAGTGGGAAAAATGTTCCGATACCGGGAATCGAACCCGGATCTCCTGGGTGAAAGCCAGGTGTTCTAACCGTTATACCATATCGGAGGATGCTCTCCTCGAAGATCTAAAGACTTATCCCTCCCATTTTCCACTCAATTCTATCAAAAAAAAAAAAAAAAGAAAAATCATCCATTTCCTCTCTCCTTCTCCTTTTCAAAAAATGCATCCACGGCGGCAGCAGCCACTTCTACACCTATTTCTGGAATCTCATAACAGTGTGTTACCGTCAATAAGGGTAAACCTCGTGCCACAGCCGTCCATTCAATAAAGACATCTGTAGTATTTTCAGTTTCCTTTACGGATGATTTCTGATCTTGTTGTGGTGTACCAGTCTTTCTACGTCGACGCTTATCACTCTTATCTACGAGTATGGCCTCCACTACGGAGGGTTTATGTTCAAAGAGAGGAGGCACAACCGCAACGGTTTGTCCAATTCGAAGTTTATCTGATGGGATGAGACGTAAGTGGAGAAGTTCCGCCTCCGCTGGGGTGAGATCTCGCCAGTACTGCAGAGCATAACCTTTCCATTTAGGTGGTGTCTTTTGTGTAGTTGTAGTAGTAGTTGTTGTTGTTGTTGTAGTGGTTTCTCGTTTTTTTCCTTTATTTGTTTGTGACTTTGATGTACCATTATTCACCACAACTTTATCTTCTTCTTCTTCCTCTTTTTCTTCTTGTTGTGGTGGTGATGGTTGATGTCTCTTTTCTTTTTTCTCTTCTAATTCCTGTGTAGCGCTAGACTCATTTTGCCTCTTCCTCTTAACAAGGGTATGAATACCGGTGGTATCTATCCCTTTTCCAGCGGATTCTGTAAACTCCATTTCCGCAATAGGAGTACTTTGGGAATCACATTTTGTTGTTGCTTTTTTTTTCGTCTTTACCTGCAATGGTATACGAGACTGTAGAGTAGCAGCGGGATTTGAATTCTTCTTTGGATGAAGTAAATCCCATCGCACACGTATATCTTCACGTTCCAATGCACCTTTCCCTTTAATACATTCATGTGCTACAGCTGGCCATGTATCGATAAACATTTTATTTTGTTGTCGAATATCTTCTTTTTGCTTTTTATAGTATTCTGTCATTCCACCTGATAATTCCGCCATTCGAGGCACTTCAAAGGAGAGATTACGAAATCGTGCAGTTTGTAATCCATGTGAAATAAGCTGAAGTGTAAAGTCATAGTCTTCTCGAATACGAAATCGATACATACACTCTGATGGTATAAGATTATGATGAAAGAGGGAGGCAATGTTGTTGTAACTATTTAATGCCACATCATGGTCACTATAGGTGTACGCAAACCGTGAGTAATCAAGTGAAAAGATTGCAATATTCCGCACATCACATACAGTGTTTTGAAGTTGTTGTAGACGTGTATACACCTCTGTGAAGAGACGACGTGGTGTGATGGGGTGATTCTTTCCATTATGGGCAAGATAGAAACGTTGAATATCATCATCCATCACCCAATACCATTCTTCTTCTTCAGATGATGTTACCAAAACATCTGTAGAGTGCGAGGCGTGGGAATATACATCTGTTAACGGTGATAATGGTGTAGAAGGCGAGGGCGATGCCAATGATGATAGTGATAGTTGTTGTTGTTGTTGTTGTTGGGCAAACACCTTTGGTACAAGATTCTTTAAAATGTAATTACGTACATATGATACACCTTGATCTGATAAGGGAAGAGATTCCACTTTAAAGAGATGCCGTATATCTACTGTACTTCGCACAAGTGGTGGGGCGAGTGGTGGGATGTGTAGAGATGATGATAAGGATGAAGAAGAGGAATAACATTTCTCCTGAATAGTCATATCAGAGGTTGATAAGATATCAATCTCTAAAGAGTCTGCCATGGCTGTGAGATCCATATCTAATGTAAATACAGATTTACACTTTTTCGGATATGCAGATGAAGATGATGATGCTAGTGATAGTGATGGTTCACTCCTTCCATCATCATCATCACCACCCCAGCACTTTTCTACCAATCGATCAATAAGTTTCTCATATCGTTCGGCCTCTTCCTGCTGGACAACAACCGTAAATGGAATTTGATCTTGAATTAACATGGCGATAGTGCCGCGTTCACTGTGATAACGCCCCTTTGATGGAATGAAGATAGGGCAATACCGCTCCTCACGCCTGCATACACCCATACTCACCATGGTGGGATTCGTTAACATTTATAGGGTTAATGAAAGGTTTCTTCTTAAATAGAGAGTTATTCAGCACAAATACAATGTGAAGAAGTATATTATTATTATTATATTAAATATATATATATATATATATATATACTTGTGTATGGTGCCCCTTAAATAATAATAAAACAACAACTATTAGTCTCCTTTACAAGAAGTTGGATAAGCGCGTTATTCAATACACTCCCTACACTGTGCCAGAATCCTTTTTTTTTTACTTGTTTATATATATATGGACGGCACGGGAGCTTCACGTAAGAGAAAAATAACGCCCACAAAGAGATAAGAAAAGAAGAGAAAAGAAAAGAAAAGAAACACAGATCATGTGAAATGCTGTAATTATAAAAAAAAAAAAGAAAAGCATAAAAAAGGGATAAATGAAGGTGCATTATCATTTAAATAATAAAAAAAAAGCCTAATTAATACGGCAGGAGTGAATTCCCACACCACTAACAGAAAACAAAACAAAAAAAAAAAAGAAAAGAATAATCTCAGCCTTACTTCTACTATATAAACAAGAACAGAAGAACAAAAAGAAAAAAAAAAGAAAACCCTGTATTCAACCTCCACGAAATTGGAAACCCCATCGTGTAAATAAAGAAAAAAAAAAATTGTATTTTTCCAGAGACTTATTTATTTAAAAACATCCTAACAGAACTGACGAAATAGAAGAGTGCTGAGAAGCCCCCGTTTTAACCCGATCGAAGAGGAAAGGGTTTAGTTGTTGGTTTGGGCTTTTCAGAAACTTACGATTGACTGACTGTAAAAGATTGGAAAAGAAAACTTATTTTCCTAAATGTTAAAACTGCCAGTAAAAGATTTGATAAAAAAGGGAGACAGTAAGACTCAATCATTCTTTTCACAAGCTGACCAAAAAAAAAATTTTTTTTTTTATAAATAAAATGGAAAGAAATAAAAGGAAAGGAAAAAAAAAAGAATTAATTATTTATTACATGGAATGAAAATATTGCTAGCTTTTGCATTATCATCCATACCCCAACTCTTTTTATTACCAAGAGAGGGATCTAAATAATAATAATAATAATAATAATAATAATAATAATAATAATACTAATAATAGTAATAAAGAAAAGTCTACCATATCATCTACACCTCCTCAAAAGGCTCCTTTTCAGAGGAACGTTTGCGTTCATGCAAATTACTTTTCACACTGTTTGTACTAATCTGGTCACCGAAGAAATCAAGATCTCTATCATATAAACGGTGTTCCCACGCCAATGAGAAGGCCGCATTCCATCCGGCGTATAAATTCTGCAGGGCAATCCACACATTCTGTCCAAACCAGCCAGACCAACTCACATACTCGTTCTCACCATCACGATCATTATTTCCTGTAGACTGGACATGAGAGACTTGTCGGCGTTGTTGCATCTCAACATCCATTTCATTTCCTTTAGAGATTGATCGTGGTAACATATTACCACCCAAAGGGAAATCTCCAGAGAGATTCGTTTGGGATGAGGACTCCTGTCGACTTAATTGCAATTCCACTTTTGATGTTGCTAATGTAGTCATTTGGAATTGCGATATATATATATATATATATTATTTTACTTCTTTATTGTTTTTTTTTTTTTTTCTTCTTTTAGTGAAGATGAAACTTTTCGCACCTCTTCAATCAACTGAAGAATCACTTACACACCACAAAATAAATAAATAAATAAATAAAAAAGAAACCGCAAAAAGAAAAAAAAAAGAAATAATAAGAGCATAAGCATAACAAATATAACGCCCTACAATTCATAAGGATAGTGTGAAATAACAGAGATATTTCTCTTTTACCAAATATATTATAATAAACAAACTAAAGGATAGAAGGACGTTCATATTCACAATTTCCCACTCATTCTCTTCTTCATATTGTAATGAATTGCGAATCTCTCTCTCTCTCTCTCTCTCTCTCTCACAGTGTTCTCAGACAAAAGTAAAGCAACTATTGGTGGGTGTTAAATCTGTAAACTTCAATGGCACCACACTCTCTGAATTCCACGTAACAGGAACAAAACGCAACTCCATATTTTTTCTCATTCCCGCGGTTAAACTAGATATACGTTTACCCACACGTACATCCGCAAAGCGAATGGAAACAATACGTTTTGGCTCTACTTCCACTAAACCAAAGTCTTCCGCACACCGCTGACGCTCCTGTTCTTGTTCATATCTCACCATATACTGCGGTACGAGTGGGATCATCTTCATAGTGGTTGGGGCGATGTGAATTCGAATGGGTTTTACTTTTGGGTGGGGTTTGTGTGTGCGGTCTACTCGCTGAGTTCCTCCTCCTATTCTTTTCGGTGCCCGCGGCATCTTTCTGTAAACTCTATTCAAACAATAAAAAGAAAAGGAAAAGGAAAAGAAAAAATACAATAAATCTTCACTTTACTTTATTTCCATCCCCCACCCCCTCAAAATAAATACATTACACAGATTCTGGTATATATGATATAAAGAAATAAAGAATAAAATAAAGAGATACTCCCACAAAAAGCAAATAAAATACTGAAAGAATGATCTTGTTGCTACCTCGACTCGATAAAAAAAAAAAAAACAACAATAAAAACTAAAAGGGATTATCCCATATATATATATATATATATATATATTCTCCTTCACTGTGTGGTTTCTACGTCTTTTTGTTGTCGACGAAAACAAAGACAGCGGTTATTATCTGGCATATCATAATCCTTCTCTAATGTGAAACCCTGTTGCGCTAGCATAGATTCCACAGTCTCCTTATCACGTATACCACGATAAGGATGATTTTGCTTTAACCAAGCATCAAAGCGTCTATTACTATCAGAGGTAAAGGTACCATTATAGTTAAAGGCCCCATACACAATAAATAAACCACCTGGACGTACAACAAGTGGAAGACGTCGAAAGAGAGAACAACATGCCTCCCATGGAGCTATATGAAAACTATTTGCCGTAAACACAAGATCATATCCAATGTGAGGGAATACAGCAAGTCGACACATCTCTCGCCATTGTTTTTCTGTATCTGTGAAATTCAATGCATATGGCTGCTTTACCAATGCGATCTGATGTTTACCATCTTCCTGTAGCCAGCGTGTAATACCTGGCAGCATCTCTGGTAAGTCTGTACACACCCAACGGGCAATTGTGTTTGGTGGAAAGCGACGGGTCATGTATACAGCGTGTTGTCCACTGCCAGAGGCCACTTCCAATACAGCCACACCACTCTCATTGGCTTTATCTTCTGAAATAGTATTAGTAGTATTAGTAGTAGTAGTATTAGCAGAGGAGAGTTTTCCCTCTCGCCATAACTCCTCCAGAACATCTCCTATAGGCTTACTGTTGTAATCACAGGAATCATAATGGGGCTTTTCCACACGCATTTCTTTTTTCTTTCTTTATTTCTTTCTTTGCTCCACCTTACTGTACTTCTCTTATTTTGAAATGTCTGTTAAATCTATACAAGACGAGGAAATACCTCACTTCACCTCGGCTCAATATGTATATCCTTAGAAGAAATAATAATAACGACCCTTTTCTCCTTTTAGAACTTCCTTTACGTTCTTGTACACTGACCATTATTGGTCATAGAAATAAATAAAACAAAAAAAAAAAAAAAAAANATGTATATCCTTAGAAGAAATAATAATAACGACCCTTTTCTCCTTTTAGAACTTCCTTTACGTTCTTGTACACTGACCATTATTGGTCATAGAAATAAATAAAAAAAAAAAAAAAAAACAGTAAAAAAAAAAAGACAAAAAAAAGAAAAGAAAAGCAAATATATATATTTATTTTTTCTCCTTACATCCTATACATTTGATTGACCTGTCTTTTTTTTATTTATTTCCCAGCAGTTAGCATTCCATAAGGCACTTTACCCATATATACAACATTTTGCCTTGAGCATTAATAAAAACGGAATACTTCAACCTCGCAGGAAAAAACAATTATATATTACATTAACCCGTCGTAATAGTGACGAAAAAAAAAAAAACCGAAACCGAAGGCAAGAACAAGCATACGGGAGAATAGAAGAAGTAATAGAAAGAACTGAGAAAATGGAACGAAAAGTATGGTACAAAAGGAAAAAAACAAAACAAAACAAAAAAGAAACCTTATCCTCAAAACAATTTAAGTTTCAATGCTTAATGGGTATGAATCTTAATGATAATGTACTTGCTTTCAATTTGGAACCTTATTCATGTGCATTGTTGTAATTGTTGGTCTAAATAAAATATATATATATAGACCGTCATTACTACCAGTACATAAAAGTAAGTAGATCATGACACCTTACACACATACACACATGTCGAATTCAAGCAAAGTTCTACAGATTGAAAAAAAAAAGTAACTACTTCTTTATTTCTACTAATACCATTTTATTCATCAGTTCAAGACCCCATACTTTCCTTCCTTTTTCACCACTCCACTAAAATGTGGTTTCTTTCCACATCACTTCACATATTCCATCCCCTGCAGCAAACGTATCTATACTCTCCCACAAATTCCTTTTTTTTTTTTTCGCCTTATACTCTTTCTCTCTCTTTTTTCCCTTTTTTCTTTTTCATTCCTACTTACTTTCATCACCAAAGCAACTCCCTCTTTACCTCAATCCATCACTTTCTCTTTACCCCACCACATATATACACACACACACACACACGCAGACCCTTTTTTTCTTTTATTATTTCCGCAAAGAGTGTCTCTGACAGAAGGCTTCAATACGACTGGCAGCCTCCATCAGGAGTGGCAGTGGACGCGATACCGTTATGCGGAGGGCACTCTCCATCTTAAACGCCACGCCTGGAAAGACTTGCACGTTTTCCTCCTCCGCCAGTCGTCTGGCAAACGCAACATCATTACGCACACTCTCCTCCAGTTCTTCAGGGACAAGTTGTACGGCAATAAACATCCCCCCGCATGGACGAGTGGGGCGAAGACCGGGACACTTCCGTAGAGCCTCATAAAGGGCAATCGCCCCCTTCTCCAGCCGTGTATTGCTCTCCTCAAAGTACGACTTGGGTGTGTTAGCAAGAATGTTGGGAAGGGCATGCATGAGAACACTGTGGGGGAGAAGACAGCGGGTGAGAAGACACTCCATCGCATCTGGCAATCGGGCAGCGTATCCCTCGCGGTCCAGCAATACAACCCACCCAAGGCGATATCCAGGCACACTGAATCGCTTAGAGATTCCCCCCACTACGAGTCGCGGTACACTTGTGTCAATATCAGCCACAGATGTGAAAACGGCATTAGGGTCTTGACCCTTAAACACCATGCCAGCGTAGATCTCATCCGCAATAACGGGGAGATGATGACATTCACACACGCGAAGAAAATCCTCCAGGTGCTTACGGCTGAAATTACTGCCACAAGGGTTAGATGGGTTATTCATTAGCACTGCCCGCGTTCTGTCATCAACGAGACTGCGCAGATGATCAAGATCAATTTCCCACTCTTTCGCAGGATCGCAACGGTAAAACTTTGGTGTAACGTCGTAGTAACGACATAGGGTACCATAATGGGCAAAATAAGGAGCAGGAAGCAAAATATTATCTCCAGGATTACACAAGACACCAATAGAAATAGAGAGTGCATCAGAAGATCCAGAACAAATAAAGACATTATCACATGGAATCTTAATTCCCTTCATATTCGGGGCAAAATGATCGATCAAATACTTCGCAACAGCCTCACGAGCAGGGGTTTCACCAGCACAAGAGGGATAGTTATTACAGAGAGTAGATTTAGCACCCTCCACAACACTTTTAATGAGCTCATCAGGAGGAAGAAAATTGCCATCCACCGCAGGATCTCCAATAGCAAGAGAAATAAGTGATTTTCCAGCAGGTGCACTTGCAGAACCTTCATTCAACATATGTACCAAACTGAACAATTCATTATTGCAACGGAGACTTCGCTTCGAAGCCGCAAGATCCCTAAAAGGACGTGTCATAGGATAGTATATTCACGCAAAAAAAAAAAAAAAAAAACAACAACCTTGGAATAGAAACAACAACAAAGAAGAAAACCACAGATATTGCCCAACCCATGCAGAACATGAAAAAATTATAATTACACAGCAACAAAATAAAGAGCACCGCTACCAAAAGAAAAACATTATATAGGCAAAACAAAGACACAAAGAGAAAAAAAAACAGACAATAAACAAAGAATAGAGAAGAACAAAAAAAAA